ATATTGAGGAAATTTAAATAATTTAATATCTAAGTAAGTTTAAACTTAGTAATTGTAATTTTAATTTTACATAATTTTTCTTTTCTTTTCTTAGTACTTATCATATTAATCTTTTAAATATTTATGTAAAGCTATAATAATGTTAATTATTTAAGTAAAAGGATTAATATACAATGCTATCATCATTAATACTATTAAGCATTTACTAATTTTTTAAATATTCTCAACATTTTAATTAGGATTTTGATCTGATCTGTCTTATAAAATTCCAAGAACTATCATAAATATAAATATTAGAACCCAACATATTTAATCTATTATCAGTCTAACATTATTTAGCAATTAAAAGCAAGGCCTTAAAAATATGCAGCAAATACACAGTATTGTTTAAAATATTAAGCATAAAATTAACTAAACTAAATAACTATGGTAAAACATTATTATAGATAAAGGGATAAGAACATTTTCAATAGCAAAAAAGAAAATTGGGAAGTAAATTGTAAAATTTTATTTTTTAATAAACTATTCTAACAAAAGATTTATTAAGTGGCTTTTGTATGATATTAAGTATATATTTTAATTTAGTTCTTAGCAATAACTAGTATTTTAATATCTAGAACATTTAATTAATCTTATATAATAGATTAAGCACAAAAGCTAATAGATTGAAAGGATGAAAATAAGGACAATTTTTAAAGCCTTGTAATTCACTTCAATTGCATTTAAAAATCCAATTAATTGTAGAAAAATTGCATAACTTGAAACTAAAAGAATTAGCTCGTTAATAATAAAGGAAATGAAGCAAGCTAGTTTTTGGTAGTTTGAAAATAGTTTTAATTATGTTAATTTACTATATGAGAACCTTTATTTATTTAAATATTTATTAACTAGTATGACAGATGCAAATATAATTTGAGTAACGATTATTGACACTAAAACACCTCCTCCATTTATCAATAAACTTGTTTAACCTACTTTGCTACTTAATTTTTAATTTTATTCTTATTCAATAGATTCAACAAATACATATTTGCTAAAAAAGTTAATTTATTAGAAGTAGCTAATTGGATTTGTCCCTTTTATTTAGTTTATAAAAATTGTAAGTTCTGATGTTAATAAAACATCTATCATATATAGCAAATTCAATTTTTAGAGAGTAAGAAACATGAAATTTGAACCTTAGGTAGAGGATACTAATGAGATAACTGCTGCGGCTTTAGCAGTACCTGAAACGTTACTTGATTAGCTTACGGAAGGTTAGCAAATACCTTTATAAATATAATAATTTTGTTCACATTAAATACACTATAATTTATTAGAGATTGTTTAACATGCTAAACAGCTCTAGATGTCGCATAAAACACATGTTTAATAATTTTTTTCAGGGTAGCATTTATAAGATGAAGAAGGTTCTATAGATTAACAAATCTTCAAATCTTGTAAAAAGTATTACCCAGCTTAACAATCTAAACAAAGCAATGGCTATGCAGGATTAACATTTACACAATCAGTAATACATTAATTTCCTTACAATTTTTGATTATTTTGAAGACATTTTTTTTAATAAAAAAAAATTGCACTTGCAGCAGCTCCAAAAAACATTGATTAATTTTTTACAAAGTAGCTGAAGGAAAATTCTCTACTATTTAAAATATCATAAGTGGATAATTCTATATTTGGATTTTTCATAGATTGATTATAGATTTTAAAATCTAATATATTAAAAGCAAGAAAAATATTTTGATATCCTTACTAAGGAATCTAAATATTTTAAATAGCAGGAATTTAAAATTTAGATCTTACATGCCTATCAGCACATGTTATTGAAAATAAGCAATTAGTAGTATCTGTAATGGATGAATATTATGAGTCATAATAAGAAAGGATATTATAAATACTATTATCAGTATCTTAAATAAATTCAACTATTGTATAATGAATCATAGTTATCATTTAACCTTATTATCTTCTTGTAAATTAAATTTTATAATATTAATCATTCATTATTAATATATTAATAGAGATAGATAACATGTTTGAGTTAGATTAACTGGTCCAACCATTTAGTAAAACTATCGCATTTTTAATTCCTTTTGAATTTTAGATTATTTATGAAAACTATCTCACTTCTTCATAGAATAAAGGGTTTGATCCACTAAATAAATTTTCTTAAGATTATTTAATAACTTAAATATTAGGGAAATTAGTTTTGTCAATTGCTAAAATAGAAACACTTAGTTCTTAGATACCTATATTATTTAAGCTTGCTATTTAACATGATAATTTTGATATGTTTGAAACTTCTAAGTTAAAAGAAATTCCTTATGGCAATACATTAAATTAGTTAAAGCCTTGTATTCCTAAGATAATATCAGGTATATTTTAAAATTATTTAAAAGAGAAATCTACATAAGAAGAAGTAGGTGGAGGATAAACTTAAAGGATTGTATAAAATACAAATGGTACATCATCAGTATAAATTAGCTAGGATCTAACATTTAAAATATTAAAATAAAAGCAAATCCAATGTATTAGGAAAGATATAAATTATTATTTCATAAGTATATTAGTGCTTTAAAGTATTTATATTTTTATCTTTTACCAAGCTAATTTTCTTGAATAATTAATTATAATGAATAAATAGTTTAAAATAATCAAGTAAATAGCTAAAGAAGCTAATTAAATACGAAATTGCTATGGATTTACTTTTCTATGATTAGTAAACTAAATCGAAAATTGTTCTATCGTGTAAAATAAAATTTAAAAATCTATCAAAAATTGAAAAATCTATTCATAATTACAATTATTAAAATAAAGAGCAAAAAAATGATAATTTTTTTCTTAAATAAGTAAATTTTTTTCTTTGGCTCAAAACTATTATGCATATAAGTAAGTTCTTTCAACACTTGATGAATAAAATTTTTTTTATTGACGGATATTTATTTTTGAAAATAAGTGTGAAATTAATTTATTTAAAAATAAAAAATTTCTCATCAACAATGCTATTATCCAATATATATTTTAAATTTTAATATAAAATTATTTAATTTTAAAGTTCTATTAGATTTTATATTTAATTTCTATTTTTTATGAATTCCTTTCTTCTTATTGACAAACATTTTAATAATCTACTTTTTTTCTAAAATTTTACTTGGATAAATGAAAAATGATCTTTATATTTACATGGTTTTTTGATTAAAAGATATTTAAAATAGTATTATCTATCTTAAATTTTTGAGTGCAATATTATAAAAATACTTAATCTCATGATAAATTGATTGTCTTTTTTAAAAATTTTTTATATTAATATAGAGTCTTAATTTTTGATAATTTCTTTTTTAAAATAAATCAAAATAGCTTTTATTGAATATATGTAAGTTTCAACCAATAAAGTCTTAATTTAAGTCGTTCATTCTAAAATAAACCTAAAATTATAATTTATTTTAGCTTTTTATTTAAAATTTTAGATATTATAAAATATTTATAAATGTGGCTGACTTACTTTTTTTCTAAAAATAGATAAATTTATAATGAAATATTTTATAAAATTTATTAAAATATTATAAGAAGTTAAATTTTCCTTTTTAGCATATTATCAAGCATATGATATAAAAGTGATTAATAAATTAAACCCCTTTTCTACTCAGTTTTTGAATCAAATTCTTTTATTAAAAGTAAAAATGTAATTTCTGTTCAATAAGAAAGCTTTAATTAAGGATTTCTTATCACATAAGGTTAAAAAGTTAGTATTTACATTTATAAATTCTTGAGCTAAATTGTTTTTTTCAAAAATATGCAGCTTAAATCTTATTTTATAATAGTTTAAGTTATTAGCTTATTAAAAGATAAAATTATATTCCTAACTTCAATGAGATTACAATCAAAATATTTTAATTTCTAAAATAATTATGAAAGAGCTTTTTCAGATGTTTTTTTATTAAAAAAACTAATATTTGAAAGGAAAATTATCATTAGAAAAAAAGTAAATTTTATTGATGATCCAAATAAAAACAATCAGATTTCTTTTATTCAACTTACTCTTTTACAAAAGAAATAAAAAATTTTTAAATTTTGGAGCTTGTAAAATTGTTAATTCTTTTGCAAATAAGAAAAATCTTTAATAAATAAATAAATAATTAACATTGAAAATTAAAAGAAATAAAATATTGAAAAACAGTATTATTTATTTTAACTATCAATTAAAATATTTAATTATAATTATAACATAAATTTCAATAAAAATAAATGTTTTATCTATTTATTAGTGACTAGATTTTTAGGAGATTGTGGAATTAATTAAAAAACTGATATTGATCCTTAATAATCATATTAATTTTAACTTATTATTACAAAAATTCTTTTATTTCATTTAAAAAAAAACCAAAAACTACCTATATTTAATCATTTATAATTTATCAATAATTATTTAGAATTTTAAGGTAAATTATTCATATTAGTTTAATTCATAGTTAATCATTATCTAAATTTATCTCACTTATTACATGTTTATTATCATCTAAATTTATATCACTTACTATATTTTTATTGGAAAAATATGATTATTAGTATTAAAAATCATTTTATTTTTTCGCAAAAGCTAATGTTGGCTTAGCATCTGATTTCGAAAATTTATACAGTTTAATATCTGAGTAAGAATTAGCTAACTACACATTTAGTTAATATTCTGTTATTCTTCTTTTCTTAAGTTTGTAAGATTGGTATTGTGACTTTATATATTTAAATGCTATAATCAAAATGTGAAGAACTTAAATAAAAGGATTTAAATATAGAGCTACCATCATTAAAATTTTTAAAAAAAGGCTAATCTGTTATATTTTTTATTCTTCAGTATTTGATGCAGAGTCAAATTTATCTTAATATATTCCTAAAACTATCATAAAAATGAATATAAGAACCCAGCATAATTAATCTATTATGAGTCTAATATTATTTAATAAAAGAATGCAAGGACGTAAAATAATAGATGCCAAGCAAAGCAATAATTGGAAAACCAAACATAATATACATTGTACTAAAAAATTTTTAAAAAATATTATGATAGAGAAGGGAATTAAAAGATTTTCGATTATTATCTAATAAATAGGAAAATATAAACTAATTTTTTTTTTTTAGATATATTCTTATGATAAAAGCTTTACCAGAAATCTTTTGAAAGTAAACTAGTTTTCTAAATATTGAAGTTCTTGGCTACTATTACTACTAATATTTTCTAGATATGATTATTGTAATAGACTAATGTAGTAAATCACAAACAATGATTGATAGGCAATAAGAATTATTATTGTTATTATGCTAAATGCTAAAAAATAAGAATTCTTTAGCTCTATAAAACCAGCAAATTAAAGAAAAATTGCATAGCTGGAAACCAAAAGAATTAATTCATTGATAGTATATAACAGAAATGAAGCAAATCTTTGATAGACTTAGAAAAATTTCTAAATTTTTGATTTAATTCCTAATTATGTTCCTATCATGTAATACTTACTCATAACAATGAGAGATAATAAAATAAACAAAGTCGTTAATATTGATACCAATATACCTCCTCCATTAACCAAAAGACTAGTCTAAAATTCTTTATTAGTGATTTACTAGTTTGCTAATTATTAAGAAGATTCTATCAATATATGCTTATCGAAAATATTTATAGTTTAAAAGTAGCTAAGAGGATTAGTTCCTTTAATTTAATCTATCAAAATTGTAAGTTCAGAAGTCATAAGAATATTTATCATGTACAGTAAATTCAACTTTTATAGAGTTAAAAACATGAAATTTGAACCTTGTGTAGAAGAAACTACTGAAATAGCAACTGCAGCGTTAGCGGTATCTGAAATACTACTTGATGAGCTTACAGAAGGTTAGCAAGTACCTTTGTAAACATAATAATTTTATTCACACAAAACGCATTCCAATTAATTTAAGTTCATTTAACATTTGACGCACTTCTAAATAGAATTGCATAAAACACATGTTTAATAATTTTTTTCAGGATAGCACAGATATGAAGAGGAAGGTTCTATAGATTAACATATCTTTAAGTCTTATAAAAAGTATTACCCAATTTAGCAATCTAGGCAAAATAGTGGCTATAGAGGGTCTAAATTTATACAGTCATTTATGCATTGATTTCCTTGTAATTTCTGATTACTTTGAAGACACTTTTTTTAATAGAAATATATTGCAGTTGAAGTAACTCCAGAAAATTTTGATTTATTTTTTACAAAATAACTGAAGGAAAATTATCCATTAGTTTGAATAGCATAAGTTGATAATTCAATATATGGATCTGAGTCTTTCTAGATAAGTGTTAAATAATCAAATTTACTAAAAGCAATAAAAATATTTTGATACCCTTATTATGGAATTTAAATATTTTAAATGGAAGGAATTTGAAATTATGATAAAACATGTCTATCTAGACAATTTTAATATAAACAGTTACTTATATCTGGTATTTATGCAAGTGATGTATCATAATAAGAGAGTATATTATAAATACTGTTTTGAGAATCTTAACTGTATTCTATAATAGTATAAGTTACGCTAGTTATCATTTAACTTGTTTGTTTTTTTTTAATTTATATTTTATAATATTAATCATTAATAATTAGTGTATTAATTGATAGAGAAAATGCTGTCGAGCCAGTTGTTGAGCTTATCCAACTATTCAGTATGACTATTGCTTGTTTATTTCCCTTTGCTTATTAAATAGATGAAGAAAATTCTATAATTTCTTCATATAATACGTTCGAATTCTATCCTTAAAATATATTTTATGAAGTTTTCTCAATAACTTAAATATTAGGAAAATTAGTTTTATCTATTGCTAAAATAGAAACATTAAGTTCTTAAATACCAATATTATCTAAACTAGAAATTTAACATGATGTTTTTGATTTATTAGACACCTATAACTGAAAAGAAGTTCCAGTAGACTTGCTATAGCGATAGCTTTAAATTCCTACAATAATATCAGGAATAGCTTTGAATTGTTTAGAAGAATAATCTACAAGAGAAGAAGAAGGTGTTGGAAAGACTTAAAGGTTGGCATAAAATACAAAAGGAACCTCATCAGTATAAATAATTTAAGCTTAAGTTATTGAAATATTAGTGAGAATCCAAATTAAGATTTATAATTTAAATTTTATTAGCATTTACATATTAAAATTTAGCTTTAATATTGCTATTTATAATGATTTCTTTTTTGATTATTTTTATTAAAACAAAGTTAAATTGTTTAAAAACAATTTTGTTTATTATATTTTATTTTTCTCAAAAGAATTTTTTACAAAACTTAATCAAAATTGATTGAAGGTTCTTTTCCAATAAAAAATTTTTAATTTTCCTTCAAATATAGAATTGTTTAATGGTTGGTTAAATATAAAAAAAACTAAATCAGTGTTTAAAATTATAAAATATTAAAATTAAATTAGTAAAATATTAAATTTTATTATTTAGCCTCTTCTAAATAGATAAATTAATTTATAGAATAAATTTGTAGCTACTGTGCATTTTCATATATTTACGCACTTTCATAATCATTTTATTTTTATTTCAGGCTCAGAAAAAAATTTTTATGAAATGCTAATTTAATTGATATGATTGTTTATAATAGAGAACATGCAATATATATATTGTTATAAAAATACTAGGCTGTATTTATTATTTACTTTAAATAATTTATTATAAAAGTAGCCAAAAAATTAAAAGTATCAAATTGTAAAATGATGCTAGAAATTCACAAAATTCTTATCAAATTTTTTTTCTTTGATTAAAAAACAAATTATATTTGCAAGATTACACAATTTTTTAAATAATTAAATAATTTACTTCTTTATATTTTATAAATAAGTCCTTTCAAGCAAATAGAGTTTTTTTATTCTTTTAAATTTTATTTCTATTATATAAGTAGATTTAATTATGATAAATAATTGATATTGAAAGATAGATTTTTATAGAATTTCTGATAGCTTACATATTTTTGATAAGTTATTGTTTCCTTATTATTAAAAGATCAGATAACCTCTATTACTAAAATTAAAATTATATTTCTCAATTTTTATTTAATTTTAGATTTTTAAATGGCTAATTACACTACAAATTTGGTACATTCAAATTTTTTAAACAAAATAATATACAAATATTTTTATAATAAAATTCTTCTTTTACAAGCAATTTCTCTTAGTAAAAAATATTTTAAAAAAAAGAACTTATTGGATATTTTATTTTAGTTAATTCATCATACTCTAAAAACTAAATTAATATTAAGAAAAAAAAGATTCCTATTATTAAAACAAAAAAAGTTCTCTAATTTAAAGATAAAATATATTTGAATTTAGATTAAAATATTAAATAGCAATCAGAAAACGCTAAAACATTTTTAGAGAAATTATAAAATATCAATAAATTATTATTAAAATTTTAATCGTCTAATGCTCTTTTTTGAAAAAAAAATCAATCTTTCATTAATAGTTAAATTTTATCTAACAAAGGACAAAAAAGTATAAAATTGATACTTTTTTATCACCTATTACCTATTAGAACAGAATCTAAAGTTTTTATCAAATCAATCAGATTTTGAAAAAGTAATCTTTAGCAATTTCAGAATGATTTTTCTTTGTTATTAATATGACTAAGAAATAAATTTTAATTAAAAAAATAAGAAAATATATTTTGAAAATGCTTACACAAATTCATTCTGCAACTTTACAGCTTATTTATTAAAAAAATAGCTTGAATTTACATTTTTTTAATAGTCTATTTCTCTTCAAATTAAAACAATTAAAGCCATTTATTAATTTATTAGAATGGATAATTCAAATATCAAGCATAAATTAACTAATTACTTTTTAAATATGTTTCAATTGATATTACCTCATTTTAATTGGTTTATAGTTTAGAGTCGTTAGCACTTCCTAAAAATAAAAGATGTAGATGAAGAAAATGGGCAAATTTTCAAAAAATTTTTTGTTTGTTAATCTTTTTGTTAATTAATGAGGATTTACGGTATATTCTAATTAATTAATTATAAAAATATTTAATTTATCATTTTATTTATATTTATTTCAATCATATCTTATGAAATATATTTTTATTAGATTTAGAAAATAAATATCTCTATTGAATTTATTAATGAAATAGTTTTAATAAATTGAAATAAAATTATTTTTATTATTTTATAATAGAAAAAATTTTGAATTTTTGCATAAATAAAGTTTAAAAAAAGTAGTTTTTTTAGATTCTTTCATTAAATTGATTTTTAAAGTATATTTATAGAATTTTCTTTGCTGTTATTAGGTAATGATTATTTAGTTTTATATTTAATTACCTTCACTATAACTTTATAATACTGCTATTTAGTTTTTTTTATTAGATTAAAATAATTATTCTTTAATCCAATAAAAACCTTTTTACAGACTTCCACTTATTAAGCATTTGAATTTATGCTTTTTTCAGTTTTAAAATTTATAAATTATCTTATTGTTGTGAGCCCTTGCTTTTAACTAAATCAAAGACAAATTTATTATATTTTTAAGCATAATAATTTTATATAAGTAGTTAATATTTATTGAGCTTTTTAGATAAGAAATAAATTACATCTTTGTAGAAGGTTTCAAATTCATAAAATAGACAAAATAATTTTGATAAAATATTCACTATGATACATAATACAAATATACACTGTATATTTAAATATTTTATTAATTATTGAGTTATCTATTGTTT